ATCTAGATTACAATCTTTCACATCTCTATTTATGAGAAAAAGTAAATGACCTGTATTTTCCTTTTCTTATAATTTTTTTATGACAAGTAAAAATTGTGTATATTTATAGTGTACAAGTTTTGATATATGTATACATTGTGGTGTCTTGTGTAAGTTTTGATATCATGGCTATACTGGCATCATAAAATGAGTTTGGAAATGTTATTATTCTATTTTATGGAAGAGTTTAACATAGCTGGTCCTCTTTCTTTCCTATACGTCTGGAGATCACCAGTGAAGCCATCTGTCCTAGGGTTTTGTTTGGAAGCTTTTAAATTAGAGATTCAATTTTTAAATAGGTATAACAACTACAAGTGGTGACCCCAAAAAGCCCAGAATTTGTTTATTTAAAAATGTGTATTTATTCTTACATGTTTAAACTTTAGTCACCCTCAAAGTACTCTCCGTTTGATGTGATACACCTATCGAGACCCTTTTTCCAATGCTCAAAACAGCTTTTGAGCTTGTTGATGTTGATGCCTTTTAGTGCTTGTTTTTTGTTTTACCTCTTCCACATCAGCAAAACATTCCCTTTTGAGGACTTTTTTCATCCGGAGAAACAAACAAAAAAGTCACTTGGAGTGAGACTGAGTGAATAGGGAGGGTGAGGCATGGGGGTCATGCCATTTTTGTCAAAAACTACTGAACACTCTGCGTTGTGTAAGCATGTGTGCTGTCATGGTGGAAGAACCAGTCACCCATTTGCCACAACTCTGTACGTTTCCTCTGTAAATCATGATGGAACTCTTTCTCTAAACTTCTAGGTAAAAACTGATGGGTTCCTAGAACACTTAGCTAGCAAGGGAAGTCTGTACAACAAGGGGCTCACCCTCCAAAAGATAAGTCTTTGTTGAGGGGGCAGGGAGTCCTCTCTTGTATAAGTACTGCTTTTCGGTTTTGTCAATTTGGTAAGTTGAATTTTTTAGGGCATTTGTCCAATTTATCTAAAATTTCAGATTATTGACACAAGAATGCTCATTACATGCTCCCATGATTTGCTTGTAAATTTGCAGGATATGTAATAATGTTCCTTATTTCATTCCTGATGTCTGAAATATGCCCTTTCCCCGCTAGGAGTGTATCAATTGTATTAATCTTAAGCAACTACCTTTTGCTTTGCTGGTTTTCTCTATTGCACTTTTTTCCCATTTCATTGAATTTTTCTCTCATGTTAATATCTTTCTCTATTCCTGTTTAATTGCTAATAGTTTTTGAACTTCCCAAATAGAATCTTAGATTAAGTTTTTTTTATTTATATAAATATGTAGACACATAAATTTCCCTCAAGCAGTTTTAGCCGCATTCTGCAAACTTTGGTATGTTTTTTTTCTTCATGAAAATATTTTATTTCCCTTGTGATTTTTTTCTTGTCATGGGAACTTATTTTGTGTGTTATTTTCCAAATATTTTGGGATTATTCTAGTTCAATTTAGTTATTTGCTTCTGGATTAATTAGCAGAAAACATGCATTGTATAGCTGCTATCTTTTTGAAATCTGGTCTATGCTGGTGAGCATTCAATATAAACTAGAAGAGAACTTCTAAAGTTGTTGGCTTTAGTGTTCTGTATGTATCAATTAGGTCTAGTTTGTTAGCTACACTGTAAAAATATTGTAAATACTTCCTGAGTATTTTGTCTGCTTGTTCTTTCTGCTACTAAGAGTGGTACATTAAATATCCCAATTTTAGCCTGGGTGCAGTGGCTCAAGCCTATAATTCCTGCACTTTGGGACATCGAGGTGAGAAGACTGCCTGAGCCCATGTGTTTGAGACAAGCCTGGGCAACTCAGCAAGACCTCATCTCTACAACAAATCACAAAATTAGCAGCCAGGCATGGTAGTGAGCGCCTGTGGTTCCAGCTACTTGGAAGGCTGAAGCGGAAGGATCACCTGAGCCCAGCAGGTCGATGCTGGGGTGGCCATGAGGTGCCACTGCACTCCAGCCTGGGCGACAGAGTTAGACTCCAGCTTCAAAAAAAAAAAAGAACCCAATTTTAATTTGGGTTTGTTTTTTTCTCCTGTTAGTACTGACAACTCTTGCTTTACATATTTTGAAATTTTATTATTTAATGTATGCACAGAATTTTCATAACTCCCTCTTCAACTTCAAATTATTTTATACTTATATTTTGAAATATAAAATATCATATTGAAATTACCATAATTACTCAAATCACTATGAAAATATCTCAACTGCTGTTTGTGGTAAGCCTCCTTTTGTGTGGATACACTTCTCTCAGGACAATCCACAGCGCCATTCAGTGGTAATACTTTGTTTTTAGTTTACAGTTTAAAAACAAAGAAGTGCTGTAAAGTTGACATAATAAGTAGGAGCTTGTTTTAATTTGATGGAATGATCTTTAGTACTATTTCTTGCTATAAGTCTCCTTTTCGTGTTAATTACACCTGCTTTCTTTTTGTTTGGAAGGCATATCCTTTTCCACATTGGCAAACTTTCTGTATTTTAAAATGTGTCTCTTCTCAACAGCATTTTGGTGGGTTTGCTAAATAATCTTTCAATTGAATGGTTTAGTACAATTACATCTAGTATAATTACTGAATATTTTTTGGCAAGATGTACTTGATTTGTCTAGGGTGCTCAGTGTTCACTGTAAACAAATCTGACAGCCGGGCTCAGTGGCTCAGCCTGTAATCCCATGCTTTGGGAGGCTGAGGTGAGTGGATTGCCTGAGCCTGCGGGTTCAAGACCTGCCTGGGCAACTTGGCGAGACCTCATCTCTACAATAAATAAAAAAAAAAATTAGCCAGGCGTGGTTGCGCACGCCTGTAGTTCCAGCTACTTGGAAGGCTGAGGTGGAAGGATTGCCGGTGCCCAGCAGGTCGAGGTTGCGGTGGCCGGGAATGGCCACTGCACTCCAGTCTGGGTAAAAAAACAACAAATCTGACATGTGTAGGTTATAGGGCCTGGCTCTCCAGAAAGCGTTGCATTAGCCGTGTAATTTTTGGCATACAATGCTGACAATACCTGGTACAAAATGCAGATATGTAGCTGGGTGTAGTGGCTCACAGCTGTAATCCCAGAACTTTGGGAGGCTGAGGCAAGAGGACTGCCTGAGCCCAGGGGTTCGAGACAGTCTGGGCAATTTGGCAAGTTCCTGTCCATACGATAAATCAAAAACAATTAACTGAGTATGGTGGCACGTGTCTACAGTTCCAGGTACTTTGAAGGCTGAAATGGAAGGATCATCCGAGTCCACCAGGCTGAGGCTGTGGTGACCGTGAACTGTGAACGTGCCATGGCACTCCAGCCTAGGAGACAGAATGAAACTGCAACTCAAAAAAAAACCCAACAGATATGTTATGACCTATCCGTAAACATATGCATCATATGTTGAATCTAAGTTAGGTAGGGCCTAATGCAGCAAAGAACAATGTGGAGAGTGGTACAGGGAGTCCTATAAAATTACCTACACCTTTGATATTAGTTAAGCTTCCTAATGGCTAAGATTTCTGACTTTTTTGTTGTTTTTTTGAGCTAAGGTCTCAATCTGTCACCTAGGCTGGTGTGCAGTGGCACAATCAAAGCTCACTGTAGCCTCAACCTCCTGGGTTCCACCTCAGTTTCCAGAGTAGCTGGGACAAGTGTGTGCCACCATGCAGAATTAATTTTTTGTAGAGGCAAGGTTTCGATACCAGGCTGGTCCCCAACTCCTGGCTACAAGCAACCAAAGTACTGGGATTACAAACGTGAGTCACTACGCCTGGCCAAGATTCCTGATTTTTTAATAAGTCTAATATGCTGATCTCATCTTTTGTATTATCTCACTTACAGTGGTTTCCCTGCCTCAATCTCTGCCCCCTTCAACTGCATCCCAACCAGTCCATTTAGAACACTCTCATCAGATGGTGTTCCATTCAGAGCAGATGCTGAACACTACAATGGCCTCAACATATGATCTGACTTCCCACTTTCTTTTCTGTACTCATCACTCATTTAGCCTCCCTGCCGGGTCACTCTGCTCTATACCCACAGCCCTCCTTGCTGTTCCACCAACTTGCCAAGCACTTCTGCCTCAAGGCTTTTGTGCCGACTTTCCCCTCTGCCTGAGAGGCCCACAGCAGCTGGCTCCTTTGTCTTTCAAGCCTTTACCTTCTGAGACTTTCCCCGACTGTAAGGTTGCCCAAACCTCCAACACTGTAGGTCCTTCATCCCCTTAGCCCTGATTTGCCATTCCCCATAGGCTTTATCACCTTCACAGACACCATATAATAATGCACTTAACCATTCATTCATTATCTTGCCTCTACTCAACATATGAATGTACGTTCTCTGAGAACAGAGGTGTTTTAACCATTTTGGTCACTGTTTGCACATCACTTTGAGCAGTACCTGGCAAAACAGGGACTCAAATATTTGTAAAATAGATAAAATTCCCCACCTGGTATCACTCTGCCTGCATTACATGTGTATGTTTAGTAAAACAAGAACCATTTATATGTGTTTTTATTTTTCACTGTGGCCTTACCTAGCAGAGGAAGCCTATACTACAAGGGACCCGCCCTCCAAAAAATAATCCTGTTTTTTGGGGGTTCCCCCTTGCACCATACTGAAAATGAAATATGTGCAATTAGTGAATATAATACATATTACAAGAACTTTCACTTCTTAAAATATGCTATACTTCCTTCATATGTTTATTTCTCAAAATGATCAGAAGTCTTTAATAGATGAAGATTTTTTAAATACCAAACTATCAAAAGTACAATACATACTAGAGACAAGGAGACAAGTTATCATAATCCCTTATACTGTTGTTTCCTGTTTTGGCAAATTACGAGAGAGAATATGATATTCAGAATCTAACAAACACAAGGTTACAAACTGAAGTCAGTATTTTAATCCTAAAACATCACTTAAGTGATATCATGGAGATAAAATAAATCATGTGGGAAAACTAAAAAATATGCCCAAGAGGAGCACAAATGAAAGGAGTCAATGAGTAGGAAAGAAAAAGATTATTTCTTTACTAAAACATGTCTATGCTGGCACCTGTAAAATGAATGCAAATGTCCCTAAATTCTGAAAGTGCAATAGTAAAAAGAATTGTGATAAATAAACATATGCCAGAGTGAAATTTCAAAATATATTTCATATTTTAAGCATAATAAAAACAAATCCCTCTGTAGGAGATGACATTAAAAGACTTTTTATCAGAAATAATTTCCAAAATAAATAACCATTTGATAGTTATATAAACAAGTAAAGATATGCTCTATATGTATAATTTAAGCAATTTATATGAATATTCTTTAATATATGTCATATAAAAATAATACATTATTTTTTAAAATATTGGCAATGTAAGTACACAATAGGTCATGGACTCAGTGGATTCCAATGCCCCTGCCCTGCACAGGAGGCCTCCACGTGTATGGAGTCCTTGTGAATTAGTGGGGATCTCCAAGAAGTTCTCCAGGAAGTGAGGGTGGTGCCAGGAAGGTACTGATGGGGGTGAGGGCTGCCTCTCTGCGCAGGGGAGCCTACAAGCAACAGAGCAGTCTGGGGAGGGTCACAGGTACACACAGGGAGCAGATGGAAGGTATACAGGATCAATCAGGAAGTCAGTCAGATGTTACATGAGCCAATCCCTGCCCATCTCCTCCAAGAAATGTTAAAAGAAAATGCATTTTAAAAAATTCAAGTTTCAGTTTCAGTAAAACTGTCTTTTAGTATTTTCAGCCAAAAAAGATTAATGATCTTCCTTTAACTTCTGTTTTTTATGACCAAATATCCTGAAGATACCGTTTTTCCTCTTTTAAAGTAGCCAATGTTTTCATTGCTTCTAGTTTTTCAACTCCAACCTCTTTGCTTACTATTTCCACAAGGGCATCATTTACATCCTTAGCCATATTCTTAGCATCTCTAGAAAAGAAAACAGCATCATTGCTTATGAAACTGGAATTTTTACCAAATGCTCTTTAATTCATGAATCTAATTTCCTTTGACTATGCCATAAAAGTTCTTCTCCCCTTCTTGGAACATCCCCCAAAGGTCTCCCAATCTTGCTCACACCTAGGTCTTCACCCATGGTGACCCTTCTAAAAAGACGAATTAACCACATTGTTCAACACCTTAAAATTCTCTGCAGCTTCTGGGTCTCAAGGGCAGCCTAAGGTTTTCCTAAAGGTCGCAGAAGTGTCTGAGGCCCCATCTGGTTCCTGCTCACCTGCCAGTTAGCCTCTCTCATTCCCTGCCCCCCACTCCCAAGGCACACAGTGGACTCCTACTCCTAAAGGGAACAAGCTCTCTCACACTCCTAGGTCCCTCTAGGTATTAACAGATACCTTTACTGAGGACTTACTATGAGCCAGGACCCCTACTCTTTAACTTACAAGACTGAGGAGGCGCCCCTCCTGGGCCTCCTGTGGTCCCTTACAAACACATGCAACATTGGGAGCATCTGTTTATGTGGCTTTCCCACCAGGGAGTAAGTTGAGGGCAAGGGTTTACCTATTCTCAAATATCTCAACATCTGAACACAACCAAACATGCAGCAGGTGCTTAGATGTTTGTTGAATGAAGAAAAGTATCAGACAGAATTCTACTATGTGAAGAATTGAAGTCGGCCCCTCCCAGTGAAACTTCTTGAGCAGTGTTGACAGTGGTCTTCTTGCCTTTCTCAATGTACTCCCCCTCAAAAGCTCCAGGGAGCTTTCACCCTGCAGCCCCTTTCCAGGTCACCAGTGGCCCTCGTGCTGCCAAACCTCCTGTTCTCCTGTCTTTTCACTTGACTCATCAGCAGTACAGGCCTCCTCCCTGGGACAATGTTGCCTTGGCTTTCAAACAAGTTTGGTCCTTTTCCAGCGACTGTTCCCTCTCAGTCTCCCTTGTTCCTGATTCCCTCATGGACTCATTCATGTTCAAGTGCCCCAGGGTTTCATTCAGAGCTGTCCTCTCTACCACTGGTATTAATGCTTTCAAGTCCATTTTACAGATGTGAAAAGTGAAGTATTAGCAAGAGCTATTTCTAGGATAATGTTTTAAGAGTTTGGGTGTTTAGGATATTCTCCAAGTTCTCAATTACCAGTTATTTCTTATCTGTACAATAAACTGTGCCTCGACTATTGAGAGGTATGTCTCTAAAACTTCAGCTGTATTTGACCACTGATGGCACTGCCCTCTATGAACAAAATGAAGATCAGATACTTAATTAAAAGCCAAAGGAAGCCAGGTTTGGTGGCTCAGCCTGTAATCCCGCGCCTTTGGGAGGCTGAGGTCAGTGGATTGCCTGAGCCCGCGGGTTCGAGACCCACCTGGGCAGGTGAGACCTCATCTCTACAATAAATCAAAAAAAAAAAAAAAAATCAGCCGGGCGTGGTAGCGCATGCCTGTAATTCCGCCTACTTGGAAGGCTGAGGCTGAAGGATCACTGGAGCCCAGCAGGTCGAGGCTGCGGTGGCCGGGAGCAGCCACTGCACTCTAGTCTGAGCGACAGAGTGAGACTCCAACTCAAAAAAAAAAAGCCAAAGGAAAATGCAAACCAACACAATGTCTAGAATGTTTGGGCTTAATCAACCTAATGCAATGTTTTTCAACTAAGAGTCAAAATCTATTATTAATAGGTCATAAAATCAACTTAGTAGCCAAAGCTAGCTTTTTAAGAAAAATTAAACAGCAAAACAAAAAAGAGAAACGATCAGAATGTGTTATAAAAAAAAAATAGAAAAGGCAGGTTTTGTTTCAATTATATTTCATGTAATCTGGGTCACTATGCCAGTATTTTGTCTTCTACATCAGTTAAAAAAAAAAAAAAAAGAAGCTGACTAAATGACATAGAGAATATGTTAAATGCTAGAGATGTGTTGGGATGAAAGAGTGAAATTTTTAAAAACTCCTTTGTAATCAGCAAAATTTTTTTGAGATCCATTAAGACAACCAAGTTTTAAACAACCTTATTGTCTATGGCAATTAAGTAACCAATCTTGCCTCACAAAGTAGATTGACCTTAATAACCTAAGGAGGGCCCTGGGTTTGTGCCAGTTTTTTTTTGTTTGTTTGTTTTCTGAGTTGGAATCTCACTCTGTCACCCAGACTGGAGTGCAGTGGCCGCTCTCGGCCACCGCAGCCTCGACCTGCTGGGCTCCGGCGATCCTTCCACCTCAGCCTTCCAAGTAGCTGGAACAACAGGCGTGTGCTACCACGCCTGGCTAATTTTTGACTTATTGTAGAGATGAGACCTTGCCAAGTTGCCCAGGTGGGTCTCGAACCCGTGGGATCAGGTAATCCACTCACCTCAGCCTCCCAAAGGCGCAGGATTACAGGCTGAGCCACCGAGCCCAGCTTGCGCCACAAATTACGCCTGAAAGAAAAAGGATCCTAGGATCCACATTCTTAGAGTCAAAATCATACTTGTTTTTTCTTAGCTAGATCAACAGCACAAAAGATCTTTTATACAAATCAATCCTGAGATTTCAAGTTAAATGATTAATGTTATAATATGAACGTAATTTTTAGAGGCTAAAAATAGGTATCAAAAATGGAACAAAGCATATCAATGCAAGAAAAATTTTCACCACTACTTCCCTGATAGTGACAACTTCTTGCCTTTTAAATATGTTAAAATCATTTTAGAACTTTATTTCTATTCTATACTTAAGAATCAAATGTCTCATCCCTACATATTTAGATTATTGACCTCTCAGTCCTGCTTCTTTTATAAGCATCATCAACCACCTCCTCCTATCTGGCACTTAAGCATGATGACTACTTACCCACACACATAAATATAACCATTCTCACAAAGAAGGATTCTTGCCACCTGTTTGCGATGAAGCTGGATGTTGTCTTGAACATACTTTGCTGGGGCTTCCTCCTCCCCCGCAGGAGCATCTCTTGAGAAGGAAACCTTTAGGTGAGTTAAGATCCCACACTTAAGAAAATGTTCAAGCTCTTCTCTGAAATATAAAATATAATGGGTCACTGACAGGCTATAATATGAAGCTGAGAAAGTCTGAGCATTAGAACCGTACCCTCAGTGGTTGAGTATTACAAAACTAGAACTATATAGTACCTGAATAGATAATCCCTATCCTTATGTCTGCAGCCAAAAAACAACCACGTTGCTCCAAAATTTCCATCTGGGTGTTGTTCTTGAAGTTTCTCTCTAAGTGAAAAAGAAAGTTCAGATATATCATATGAAGAATATGTACAACGAATCTCTTTCATCAGGAAATACCAACAAACTCAGATAGGTTTATAACATCTTTGCAGTCGAAAGTTCATTCACTTAATTAACATTTTACTCTCCACAGGCTGTCACTGCCTCTCCAGTGGAAACCACACCAGGCAAGCAGGTCTAGAAGTTGCTACATACAACATACACAAAACAAGGATGATTGTGAAATCTGGGTGAATTTCTACACTAAGTAATATTAATAGCACTTTCATGAATAAATTAACTCTTAATTAATAATGGAAAAGTAGCATAGGGCTGTAAAAAGTAGAATGTGTAAAAACTTTTTATGAAACGATGAACACACCAGAGTATGTCTGCCATTACATTTTTGCTTTCTCAAAGAAAAAACTAAATAAAATAAAACAACAAAATGAAGGTAACTCCCTCGGGTCCCCTTCCACTGTGGGAGCTTTTCTATCTTCTCAATAAATCCTGCTTTCTCAGTTAAAAAACAACAACAACAACAAAATGACTGACCAAAAGATAGGACTGCACCATCTGGGAAAGAACATGTTAAGACTTGTGCACTTCACAAACATGGAAATAAATATAATTTCTTTTATATTAAATAGTTCTGTTTAGATACTTAGTTATATCTATTAATGTAAGTTATTCTATTAATAGTCTGTTGAAAATTACTAATGTTTGGGGTTTAACTTTGAAAGTTGTGGTATAACTGGATCTGTTACTACCAATTTTATCCAATTAAGAAATAACTGGAACAGCCATACATCAGCACGTCATGAAGGTTGTGCCTGAAATCTACCCCCAACCACGAAAGCAAGAAACCACAGAGCAGCTGGAAAAAATGAAAACTAAAAGTGTCACAGTAAAAAAGAAAGTTTTAGTGCAAAGTAAAATCTCTACAACATACTGTGATTAGTTTTCCCATGGTGACAAATTATGCTATGTTATCACACATTTAATAAGTTTTTTTAAAAAAAATTTTACAACCCAAGTCCAATTATTCTAAAAACGGCCAATGAAAAAAGGCTATTCAGGAGAACATTTCCCCACTAGCCAAAAAAATGACATACCTTTGTTGTAGGAAACCAATAAAGGGTGCAATGCCAGTTCCTGGACCCACCATTATGATAGGGGCGGAGGGGTTATCTGGCAAGTGGAAAGAATTTGTTGTTCGAGGAGAGATGGTTATCTGGAATATTAAACCAATTACAGTAAGTATGAAAGAAAACTTAGGTAAGAGCATATAACAAAGAATAATCTTTGCTAAAGAAAACAGGAAGTGCAAATTCCCTAAGAAACACCATTCATAGAGTTAGATGTTATTGAAACCATGAACACATTTGTCACTACAGAGAAATAAAATGTTCTTGCAAATTTTTCTTCACCATCCAATTCCAAAACGTTCTAAAATGACAGGCATGGTATTTCTGAGGTAGAATATGAGTAGATAATAATTCTAGGCCCATGGATAAGATCTGCTTTCTAATAGGCAACCTGTTATATAAATTATAGAAAAATGAACTCAACAAATGAAGACATAATTCCTCATATCTGTACATAAAAGGCCAATGAAGATTAGCATCAAGATAGGGTTGAAAAGTTTTAAGTGAAAATTAGGCACCATAAAAATAAATTAAAAGGCTGCTTTGAAGATTCCAGAGAATGCTGTGATTATTTGCCATTCTAAGTCCAGTATTATCCAGAGCTATCTGTGTATAATTAGAAGAATAAATCATATAGTTACCAAAAAACTTCTGTTAAAATTTCAAGATTTTTCTTCCAAAACATGTGCCAAGGATACTTACAAGGAATCAATCTGAGTATGCCTCACTTCTGGTTTGACTTTGTCACAGACATAAACACACTGAGGGATACTGAGAGTTGGAACAACAGGATTCTGCTCCACCTTGCATGGTGGGATAACTGCACACATTTTAACTTTTAACTCAGGGACAACTGTAGGGATTTATGAGAGCCTGAACACCATACGTTTTCAGTGAAGGGTTGGCAGAACTATCTAATTGCTGCTCTTATTTGGGAATGAAACTATAATTAACATTGCATTAGTCTTACTTCATTCATTCATTTAACAGTTTTATTGAAAGTACTCAATATGACAGGCACTAGGGATACAGAAATGAATAAAACAAAGTCTCTGTGTTTATAGAACTGACATTCTAGTGGAAGGAAAATAAAATAAACAAACATATATCCACAGAATGATGGGTAATGGCAAGCCCCACGAAGCAAAATTATACAGGGGAATGAACTGATGGATTTGGCAGGGAACAGTTAACTTCAACACCAGTGTCAAAGAAAGCCTAGGTCTACGATGAGATCTTTACCCAAAACCAGAATCAGGGTCTCAGTCATGCAAAAGCATGGTCCTGGCAGAGAAGACAACAAGACACTGAGACAAGAGCATCCTTTCTGTGTTCTAGGGAAAGGAAGGACACCAGAGTATCAGTCAGGTTCACTATGGACAATCTCAGATGGTTTACAACATCAAACACTCATTTCTGCCTCTCTTCCTGGAAGCCTGCAGGCTGGCTGCAGCTGTGCTCCTCGCTCTCCTTCACTTGGGATCCAGGCAGACAGAGCATCCTTGGCTGGATCACACTAGTCCCCAGGGCAGAGGGGAAGAGGGAGAGAGGCAAGTTATGCCCCATCAGCAGGTTTAGTGTGGCAGACACCCTTCTGCTCACACAGCCAGGCAGGGGAAGGCATGTAATAATCTTGCAAAAGACAACATTCACTACACTTTGTAATAAAACAAGGCACAATGAAATTTAGAGTTTTAAAATACATCCTTTATATCTATACCCCTAGTGCTTCCATAATGGGCAGTCTATAAAATCTGTTAAACTGGGGAAGGAAAGAGAAGACAGGGGGAAGAAAAGAAAAAGTATATGAAAGGTTCCCATACTTAGTGTTGGTGATTCATGATGGGCACAAGCTGTTTTTAACATTCTGGAGATCATCTGCTCTCTTTGTACAGTCTTGAAGTGACACATACTTTTATGTCAGTACTATAAAACTCTTTTTCACCAAAGAAATAATTTCTCAGGTTCCTAATATTTTGATGTCTAAAGGATCTTTAATGTTTAATGAACACAGTAAAGCACCCCTCTATTCCAGGCAGCCGACTGGAAAAATATCAAGTAAAAGGGCGACTTCAACAGCAATCTTCCCTTAACCCTGCCAAGCATATACAAGAAGTCCTCCTTCCCACTTAAGGTTATGAACTTTACAACTTCAATAACTGAAAAAAAAAATGTGTCTTAAGATAACACCACAAATGATACACTGATTTCTTCATTATCATGAAGAAAGAAGACTTTATGATAAAACTGACATGCTGCTGTATTTTGACTATCCTTACAGGCAAGGAGGGACAACTTTAAATTGTTTCCTATGCCTGTGGTCTCGGATGAAATATTGCTGAGTGCTGTGTCAAAACATAAAGGATGTCATTATGCCAAGGTGTAAATGTATCCACAATTTGTTCAGAAAATCACATAGCCTTTTTTACCGATGTGTCTTAAAAGTGATTTCCCACCATAATTCCTTTTCACTAATAGCACAAATTCATATCTCACACACCATGCATAGGACAAAGAGGGAGAAACAGGAATGGGGGCCTCCTACTCCCCAAATTAGATGACAATATAAAATTAAGGTTTGGCTGTCACCAGACTGCGAATGCATACTACTTATTTGAAACACAGGAAACAGTCTGAGGATAAGATGAGGTTGTCTGTCTCTCACCACCACCCCTCAAAACTTCCTGGACTCTTCTCCACCCTGCCTAGGCCAACCTACCAAGGACATTCACAGAAAACGTCTTCTCTTCCATGAATAGAACAAGCAAGAAAAAAGACTGTATTATAAACAATTCATGCTTTACATGTTCAGAAAAAGTTGAACTAGTTAAAAGTGAAGTTAACAAGGTTTTCTGCCCTTCCAACAGAGATTTTAAAATTCAAAATAGCATAAATGTTCTTATGATGGTAACAGACAATGTGGGGGAGACAGCGTATTTTTTTCTAATTAAGCCAAGAGTATAATTCAACAATTTTGGAATTGTACACAACTTCAGTACCTTAGGAGCCAGGGCTTTCCCGCCATCTGCATGTGACACACGTGTGTTGGGCTGAAGAATTGAGGCGACCAACGTGGCCAGCCACCCTGTGCACACTCCCCTCTGCAAAACCGCTGTTGTGGTGTTAGACAAAAACTCCACAATGTTAAAAACAAAATGAAGCTTTCCTGGGTGAAATAAACTTGAGCTGCAAAGACACAGATACATTCTGAATTCTATATGAGGACTAATGCATGGGTCAAACTAATCCTTTTTTAAATCAGTAAAGGAGTATTTCCTTATAGGCTCTAATCTACCCTCCAACTCCTCAGAAAAGCTACAGTACTTACTTAAAAACTCCCCACCCAACCCTTACATCCATCCCACCCCACATTTTGTGTTATCATTAAGGAAAGTTCCCAATTTTATTGGCTTGCCCTAAGACTAGATACAATTTAGAAAAACTGTCATGCCCTAAGGGTCTTCAGGTAAAAGACTCATTCACTCATTATTATAGACTTTTTACCATATGAACAAATAAAGATAAATCCTGTCAGATATTCCATACATTATTTATTGTTAAGAGGATAAAATTTGAAAGCCACTGAAATATATATACCCAGAAAACTAAAAATTCAAAGTGAAAACATCTTTAAAAGATATTTCTACAAAAACATATTTCTTTTCATATTTCAGGCTAAATAAATAATAACTCCAGAGTTAATTCTCACTCCTCTTCCAACCAGAAGAATGGTGCTCCTCCTTGTATGATTACTGTGGAAGGACAAAGGAGAGAGCCAGATGGGAAAATGGTAGAGTCAGTGCAATGAACAAAGGCCAGACAGAGGAGTCGGGCCTGATCCCATGAGCTGGTGCTCACCAAATATTCTACAGTGGAACTTTCCTCAATATAACCTGCTTTCCGTGGGTGCCCAGGGAAGGTGGCTGGACACATCCACAGAGGAAGCAGGTGGAGGACCTCGAGACTCCTGCCCTGGGTGGGGAAACACAACACTGGGCTTAAGGGGAGCACCCAAGATGTTAAACTCTGTGAAGTCTTGGATGAAAGGAGTCCTGTTACTCGTCTTCCACTTTCTTTTGCCTGGTACTATGCTCCATAAATCAGGTAAGTTTTCACTGAATAAGTGAGTAAACACTAAGAATTCTTAAGCCGAGTTTCCTAAGGTTTTGGTGAAAAAAATGCTACATGTGAATAAATAGTAGTACCTTGCACACGAATATGGTCTGGGTTGAAGTTTAGGAAGATGTTCTAGGAAAAAAACATAAAAACAAGCAATTAATTTACTGGCACTGAGAGTAAACTTACTTAAAGGACAAAAAAAAAATAAAAGACAAAAAATCTCAAGGGCCTAAATTTGAACCCTGTCTTGTCTTATTCAGAATATTCAAAATAACTAATGTTCTAGTTTCAAATAGTTTTTAGAACATGTATAAGTTATTGTATCTAAGTAAGATATTACTGTTTTTTCCTCCTGTTCCTAAAGTTAAAAGCCAGCTATAATATATTCCCTTACTTTAAAATCAGTATTTTTAAACCAATTGCTGGTTTTTTAAACCACACAGGCTTCAGATCTGAAAAAGTCATCAAGCTTTCGTGTGTATGCAGTAATCTAAAGAGAGGTATCCAGGGTTTCAGACTTAAAATAAAGACATGGCCTCAAAAAGATTAACAACTACTCTTTTAAGGATTAATGGAAATATTTAGGCCTGAAATATTTTTCCTTTTTATGAATTTATATAATGAACAAAAAAAAGTGCATGGTGGTGGACATTTTTAAGCCAAATTATTCAGAAATTCAGTAATTTCAAAATACACAGGTAAATTAAATACAAATACAGGTAAGTAAAATACAAAGGTAAGTTAAAGGAATCAATATTTAAATATCTAACTGTCCATTAATAAACTTTGGAATTTTTGTGTTTAGGATAGTTTTAATAGTTATTTAAGCATAAACTTGAAAAGATCTATTTATAGGAGCTTAGAGTTTTAATAAATATAAAAATAATGTTAGTAGGGGGCTCCACTTAATATTACACTCTAGATATATTACTTTTCCTTAATTAAAAAATCATTCAAATTTTTATAACTCCCAATGCCTTTGATTTTTTAAAAATGTAACTATGTCATAAGTGGTATTTTGATAAACTGAAAAGAGAAATTCTAGAATTGAAACAAATTAGTGTATGATAGAGAACTTTCCAAGACTACTAGAACTCCCCAGCCTGTGCTCTGAAACTGTTATCTCAACTTGCTGATCACTCTAGAAGGCTTCATTGGAATAGCTGAGAATGACAAGCCAGCCTGAGGACAGACAGGATGGTGGGCCTCACTCAGCAACATGTTCTTACCAGCAACATGTTCTTACCACTCTGGGGAGGAGGAAAGAGGAAAGAACACCAATAAACAACAAGAAAGAGAAATCAGGACCTGACCAGCAAAGAGAGTACCCTGAATTGTACCGGGCACCAAAAAGGACCGTGCTGACCTAACAGCAAAAAGGACAGTACATGTTTTGGCATCACCAAAGACAAACACAGATGTTACTACTTATCACTACAGAAAAACAGATCACAAAACTACAAGCATAGGAAAGTAATGTAGCTTTAAAAATCCTATAAAGTTCTTACAGTCTTCAATCCTAGTAAGCATTTCCAATCTCTTCCTGAGAGCCATGGAGAGGCCCCTTAACACTGACTGCTCAGAGACGATCCCAGGGTCTCTTCTGTTGGAACATGAGGACCACAAGAGTCAGTTTGGGCAAGAAAGAAAAATAATAAATAAAAAGGGTTACCTTCCATCTGAAATATTTTGTGATGGGTCTCTGCCTGGTAGTACTCTGGGTGTGTCAACTTATTCCAGTATAACATAGTCCCTTTTTGCTCTAGAAGGACCCTAAACCTGGACTTGTCCTGATGGGAGTCTTTCTACATTCTGCACACAGAGCACAGGCATCATCAACCTCTGTCAATTAATGATGATGTTCATCATCTTTGAAAAAGATCATTTTTTTATAAGAAGGTCATTTTTAGATAAAATCTGGTTAAATGACCTTTCTGAAGAAGTAGTTAAATTAGAAAAGATGCTCAATTCTGAGACAAAAGAGACACACGAATGGCAATAATAGGAGAGAAAATGATAGCAACATTAGAAGAAAAAAAAATCGAAAGTTTGGAGGAGGAGAGTTTGATTTCTAGAAGGCAGTGCAGATGTCACAGCACCGTGAGGACAAGATACCCGATCCCCATTCACTTAGACATGCTCTCGCTATGCATAGAATTCAAAGGGAAATACGAGAGCAGGCAAATTTTTCTTTGCTGCAGCCAGATGGGCTGCCTATCAGTGCATGAAGAACTAAGGTGCCTGTGAAAGTTGCGACCACTCACCCAGCAGGAGACTAAGCGGTGGCCGACAGGACGGGAAGGCGAGCAGGATGTCCAGCAAGCAGGCACAGGCATCTCGAACAAAGCGGCTGTAATCGGCGGCTCCCTGTTTGCTACACAGCTCCTGCAACCTGCGCTTTTCAGCACTGTTTCTGGTATGGTCCACAAGGGCTCGCAAAAATGCCTGGAAAAAGGAAGTCGACTTAAATTATGATGCACTTTGTAGTTAGGGGCTATTAGAATATTCAGTCAGTATCTGCTTGGGGATGTGCTCAATTACCCAAGAAAAAGGCAGAGAGCCACAAGGTGTACTGTCAGGAAAATAGAGCTTAATTTACTGTTTGCTTTAATGTTGGCCTGGTAGGGAAATTCCACGATATAAATGAAGAGAAAATAAAATTCTGAATATCAATTCTCAAAGACTTAACCAAGCCCAACTCCTGGACAAAGCATCAAACCTGCTAACAACAATTTTTACTGCAATGTAATTGCAAGTTCTTCTATATAAGGAAGGACTCCCAAAAAGCCAGAATAATCTTTTGAGGTATGAGCCTATAGTACAGGCTTCCTTGCTAAGTAAGTGTTCTTAGAACCCATCAGCATCAGTGTATCAGCTAGCATCATTGTGAGAGGCAGGGTTTGGTTTCAGTGAATTGTTTTTTGTAGATTCTTTCAACACATTTGCCCATTTCATGATGGATGATTTATACAAACAACTTGCTCACACCATGCTGAGTTCAGCAGTTTTTGACAAAAATGGGATGGCCCTCATGCCCCATCTTCCTTATTCACCCAATCTTGCCCCAAGCGACCTTTTTTGTTGAAAAAAGTCCTCAGTGGGAAATGTTTTGCTGATGTGGAAGAGGTAAAACAAAAAGCAGCAGAAGCAGTAAAAGGCATCAAAATTGATGAGGTCAAAAACTGTTTTGAACAGTGGAAAAAAAGTATCTCGATAAGTGCAGTGCATCAAATGGACAGTACTTTGAGGGTGACTGAAGCGCATAAATGTAAGAATAAATACAGTTTTTTATAAATGAATTCCAGGTTTTTTAAGGTTCCCCCTCATATATGACTTACTGCTCAAGGGCTCTTTAAGAACAAAGTACTTTGGTCACTATCTGCTTCAAATGTTATGAAATGCTAGAGGGTACCACTACTTTTAATTCCACAACTCAAGATAGTTGTGTCCTAGACTCCCTTAACAGGGTGAAAAGATCATGGCTCTCACGAGAGTCATGTTTCCAATGATCCAGTCTAAGAATCCCTATCTAGAATATCCAGAGGCTAATAAATCACATGCATTCCTCCAAGCATCAATATCAGTGTTAAAAAAAAAGCAGCACTCAGAAAATGCTGCTGAATGAATGAATGCCCCAAATCTCTGCATGGATCTTTGGCAAAATAATAAAGACTTTACCAATAACACTTTGTAAATTCTAGCCAATAAAATTTCCTAAATTAAAAGCTAAAGCAGTGACAATTATAAATCTTTTAAAATAATTTTCACTTTGAACTATTAAAAACTTTATGGCTCTAAAATAGGAAATGCCACACTGTTTTTAGAGAACAAGCTGATGAAGTTGACAAACACTACTACAATTTAAACTGTAAATATTTTTAAAACAGTAATTCTAGTCCAAGGAATTTATTTTACAAGCATACTTCAAATAAATGTGCAAAAATGTTCACCTAGTTTATTTATTTATTTTTTTCGAGTTGGAGTCTCACTCTGTCGGCCAGACTGGAGTGCAATGGCCGCTCCCTGCCATCACAGCCTCGACTTGCTGGGCTCAGGCGATCCTTCCACCTCAGCCTTCCAAGTAGCTGGAACTACAGGCGTGCGCTATCATGCCCAGCTAATTTTTTTATTTATTGTAGAGATGAGGTCTCGCCTGACCAGGCGGGTCTCGAACCCGCGGGCTCAGGCAATTCACTCACCACAGCCTCCCAAAGGCGCGGGATTACAGGCTGAGCCACCGAGCTCGGCTCACCTAGTTTTTTTTAAGTGAAAAAGTAGAAACAACTCAATTGCCCATAATTAATTCAACAAATTATTGTGCATTCACAGTATCCATTAAAAATATCTTCAGTCATTCCACACTGAAATATACAGAATGTGGGATTGCCAGAGCCCAGCAGGTCAAGGCTGAGATGACCGGGAGCGGCCACTGCACTCCAGTCTGGGCGACTGAGTGAGACTCCAACTCAAAAAAAAAAAAAAAAAGAAAGAAAGAAATAGAATGATTTCCTTGTAAGTAAAAAAAAAAAAAGGCAAGTTATAGAATAGCACATATATCAAAGGATTCCACTTTTTTCTTAGCAAAACAAAAGTTAACTCTAAGGGTTTGGTTATAAAATACTTTGGTTTCCTGGGTTACTATTTCTGTATCTTAAATTTTTCCAATAAGTATATTATTATTGTAGGAAAAAATACATTTTTACATACACTTTGCAAAAATTTTAAAAACTGTAGAGTTGCACCAAAATTGTGAATTTATTTAATTTACTCAAGAAGTTCTCATCACAGTGAATTAATTCTTAAATTTTCCGAGTTATATCTAGTTATATCTGAATCTTTCTCTAAAGTAGTTTGTTTCCCAAAGACTAGAAATGCAATAAACACATTAATAAAACAGAATGAAAGCTACACTGGGGAGAGGGTAGCCTAAATACAGTACTCTATGCTCACTGACAATACAAGTTTAGCAAGGCACATGTGAAAAACTGTACCATTAATATGCAATTCAGAAAACCAGTTTGAAGAAATCAGTTTTAAGAATTTTTTTTTTTTACAAATACTTCCTGGTATAATACTGACCTCTAGTGGACTGTTCTCTCTTCAAATTCATCTAACTATCAACATTACCTACCATAAACATTTAATTTTTTCTGAAGAATTCTGTTTTAGTAATAATTAGGCATTATTACACAAAGGAGATCTTAACAACTTTAAGAAGTGGCAAGTAGTAGTTGTAGTAAGGGTGAGAATCTTAAAGTGTTCTAAGCTTTCTGTCACCAATTAAGGAAACGTGCAGTTGGATAACAAGGTCAAATACAGTCACTTTCATCACTGTTTAATGTGCTATTTGAAGTCAATGGCTAGTAAAAATAAGACTAAGAAAAACTCTCATTTTAAAAATCTAATTTCAGTAGGAAACCCAATGTCAGTGAAAACACAACACAACTATATCTGACTATGACAATTATAAAGATAATAGCATATAGCATTGGGAACTAATTTTAAGAACATGCTATGAAGACCATATTTTTTAAGCCTTCAAAGGACAGATAACAGATCTACTTAATAAATCCTAAACAGATTGAAGCATATTTTAAAATGGTTACCAGAGAAAGACAGAAAAATACCTTTTTAGGAACGGCTCGTATTTCAAGACACCAGGTAAGAATGAACTGGAGAGAGCAGCCCTCAGGTATATGTTGGGGCAAGGCGGCACCTTTGCAGGACAGGAAAGAGGTTCATGACATAGAAAATAAAGAACAAAATGTTTTGCATTTCCCAGAACACAATTACTATAGCACTGTATGTTCCAGTGATATCAAAGTGCAATATGATCTGTGCCAATGTTTATTAAGCTAGAAAACGTTCCCAAAACGAATACAGTAAAAAAGTCCATCTTATAAAAAAAAATGAAAGAATACAAATTCAAGGTAGGCCAAACAAATAAAAAAGTGTCCATCAGAATTATACATTATTCTCAAATAGAATGTTAGGACTAAATTAAAGTTCAAGATTTTAGGCAAATAACTAATATATATATATGCTTTTTAAAATTAGTAACTTATTTTAATTACAGAAAGAGCAATTATTTTTATACAATAAATATGTAATATGCTATGAGAAGTAAACATAATAGGAAAATTATTTTTAAAAGATTCTAGGCCACTGTTTCTCAAAAAGTAGCCAGTTATACTCATTTCTCATGTCCACAAGTGTCCAGTAAGCATAGTATCCATTATCATCTTATTCAGTGTCATTAACGTGAATGTTAAGAAATGAGTAACACAAAGCCCATGCTTGTGTTCCTGGCCCCTGACATGTAGCTGAGCCCCAGGCATCTATGCCCCCACCACACAGGACTTTGAGCAGGACCCCTGGGAGTACACGCTCACTGTCAGTTCCAGTCCATTGGCTCACACACGCCAATAAGTCACAGCATCAGGGCTGTACCTTTCTTCTTTGTGTCTTCCTTAATTTTCAAGAGGACACAGTGCTCTCTTTTATCTGTGAGCTGCAATCTTTGCAGTAAGTTCTGTACCTCAGAGTCACTGTTAGGACAGATCACATTGAAGGCATCTCCAGGCTGATAGGAAAAATCTGTTTCCTAGAGAATAACCAAAATGGAAGAAAAAATTCCACGAGTTAAAATTGTAAGGCAACAAAATTACAGCTTTCACTTAAATACCATTTAAATACATGAACTCAGAAACAAAATAATTCTAACAACAAAAAGCAAACTAACAAATAAGTCCAATTAATCAAACGAACACTTTCATTAGCAGTCACTTCAAAAAAATGCGGTCGTTATGCATCTGTCTTTTATCAATGTGTATTTAGAGAATGGAAATCAGACCTTGTTTTCTACAGAGTAAAAGATACTGAAGTGTTTTTAATAATCCATGTAAAAATCCTTCAAATAAACACATACATGCATGTACACACACAAAAACATGACCAAAAGAAGCTACATCTGCAATGGTTTTAAATTTCCTTTTCCTCACACTACTCTTTTCCTTCAGGGAGGAATAGGGGTAGGAAAGGATAGTTTATTATTTCCTTAATGAGCAACATTTCATTACACCATCTGACTCATTACTGGTTGTGAGCAAACACGGACTGGGAAAAGAACCACTTTCCAGTAGGCCCATCACCTCCAGGCCCTAGAGGGATGCAGATACAGACAAGGGCTCTGGAAAGGGGCCTCTCACCATCACATGACATAACCTCACACTTCTCGCCCATGAGGGAAACAGAACTGGACTCAGCACTGGTCAACCCTTGTATTCACATGTAGAACACCTGAATACAAAATAATTTGAGGTACATAATACTGACACTTATGGAAGCAAAGCCATCTAGTTTTGATACCTATTATACTTTTTTCTACTAGGAAGTTCAATTCAATCTACACAGACAGGCTTGGTGTGCCCTTACTTTTCTGAAGCTACAACCCACTCACCCTCTCAGGACCTTCATTAAAAGAAACAATTAAGCCCGCGGGTTCGAGACCCGCCTGGGTAGTGAGACCTCATCTCTACAATAAATCAAAAAAATCAGCTGGGCGTGGTGGCGCATGCCTGTAATTCCGGCTACTCGGAAGGCTGAGGTGGAAGGATCGCCGGAGCCCAGCAGGCCGAGGCTGCGGTGGCCGGGAGCGGCCACTGCACTCCAGTCTGGGCGACAGAGTGAGACTCCAACTCAAAAAAAAAAAAACAAAAAAAACAAAAGAAACAATTAAGCTAAATGACTCTGAAAAGGTACTCCAGCACTAGGTATCAATTGGTTTCTTAACCCAAGGTCAGTGGAGTCTGATAGAGGGTGAGGCTGGGGAGGAGCTTATGGATAAGACTCACGGAAGTCCATCTCAGAGAGGACATGAAACTGCATGCAAGTGTTTCTGTGCCCAGTTGTCCTCAGCAACTGCTAGACACAAGTTCTGCTACAGTGACTAGCAGCTCCTATACTTGATCAACCCTAAATCAAAAATATTTCAAAAAATAAACTTAAAAATACAGTATAGCAACTATTTACATTGTATTCAATACTATAAGTAATCTAAAGTTGGCTTAAAGTATGGGGAGAATGTGAGTAGGTTATATGCAAATACTACCCCATCTTATTTCAGGGGCTCAAGCATCCAAGGACCATGGTATTCTTGGGGTTCTAGAATCCCAGTGCCCTGAGGGTACTGAGGGCCCAATGTAATCATTTTTCTAGACAGTTAATAATTTTTTTCCAGGATTTTCCTGATCGTCAAAGGAATCAGAACCATTGCCGAAAAATTAATCCTTGATGTCTGCCTGGTCTAGGCTCTATTTCTAAGTAGCTGGCTGGCCTCAGGTACACAGCTTCATTTCCCGAGCCTCCTCTTCTATGACCATGCTGTTCTGATTCCATTATTCTTTTGTGGCTTACTGAGTAAGGCAGCAACTCTAACCTCTCAGACTGAATCGCCTCCACTCATTCCTCACCTTATCCCTTCTCTGAAAAGGAAAGAAAATAGGTGTGCGGTGGATGAAAAAAGGACAGGTCAGGAATAAAACCGCCAGTTGTCCCGTCGAGACCTCTCATTCTGCTGAGCACATACAACCAAGCACCACCCAAGTCTCTCTGCACATCTTCACAATATAACTGTGCTGAGAAATAAATTTTGTAACTTACTGAAATGTCCAATTCTACCAGCAGAGTGGTTTTTATGGCATCATTCATAGTAAGCTGAACTGCCTTTGAAATTGGAACTTGAAAAACTGGATCCGCTGAAGTCACAGATGCTTGGCTTTCCTTCTTGAGAAACAAGTGTGACAAAATATAACTAAATGCAATTCTCCATTACACCATTCCTTTACTTAGTGACTATGCAAACAAGATCTATAGGGTCTTACAAAGCTTCCTAGCTACTTAATATTCATTTCTAAGGTAAATAGGTGTAGATATAGCGAGCTCACTTTTCAGAAGACAAGCTCCTCTCTATTTCAAACTCCTTGTCCATCAGACATTAGAATTTCTGAACTACACACAGAAGATGTCAAATATTTGCATTTTTGTGCAAAGGTCTAATTGTCTTCCTAATAAACTATGTAAAGGGAAAGCGTGTGTGGAAATATTTCAGGAAGACCCTTAAGCAGATGCTTAAGGTTGGGGTGTGTGTGCAGATGTTCATGGGAAACCCCTAGTGTTGGGCCATGCTGTTCACATGGCTGCTGAGCACTTGGAATATGACTAGTGCAACTAAGAAACTGAATTCTCAATTTGAATTAATGTTCACTAATTCAAAGTAGCTACAGTGGCTGGCAGCTCCCATACTGGACAGTGCAAGTATTGGAAAGCTGCAAAGAAACAATTCTTTATACTGGTCCCTACCCCCTTCTAACCTGACATTCTTAAGTTTAAAGGCAGAAGACGTGTTAACAGTACTAGCCAATTAACTGTGAAAAAGTGGCTATATGAGAAAGCCGGGAGGAGGGTCAGGGCTGGGTGCCTGGGAATCATAACACAGGGGGCCCTGAGATGCGCCCCTGGGAAGACTGTCCTCAGCAAGGCTGCCAAAGTGGGATCAAAGACTAGCTATCACCTGTGACAATCACCTCAGCAGCCTCAGGTCACACCCCGCTCGTGGCTACACCTCAGAGGCAGCCCCCATTCAATGACTAATCAATGACTACAAAGGCCCAGCCCCTTTGTCCAACTCAGGACAACTCCAATGGGCCACCAGCTATGGAGGGCACTGTGGGATTGGCTGAGGCTCTGCTGAGATGTGTCACAGTTCAGTTTCTCACTGTGCCCAGTCCTAAGGTCTCCATGCCCCAAGGGGATGATATCAAGAAGATGCCCTAAAAAACATCTCACAGTTTGATTTCTGGGAATCCAGCCTGTGACAGTCCGTCAGTGCCAGGGTAGCCTAGGAAAGATGCTCAATGGAAGTCTGGGGCTGGATAACCTACTTGGCTGACAATGAGACCTCACACCAGTGAGAGAGTGAAGACAGAGGCCTTGGCTCAGTAGGTCCACTGGGTCCCAGGACCTCCAATGGTCACTCAGTAGCTGGCACAACCCCACACTGAGTTCTTGGCCTTGAGCTAAGATCTCTCATAGTGGGGAAGGCCAAGAGGAAGCCTTTGAGTTTGACACCACCCTCCTCTGTGACCACGAAGGTAGAAAATGAAAAACAAAACAGCATTCTGGAAAGAATGGTAGAATTTAATAATTTTTTTAAAAAACTAAAGGACACGGAGATGGTCTCTCTCATATCTCCATTTAATTCATCAATCTGGCCTCTACAAAAATGAGACAGATCTTGGGGATGACACCAAACTGCCAGGAGCTGAAACAAGGAACAGGTCCCACTGTTGCCTCTGGGCAAGATGGCTCTCTGGCAGACAAAGTAGACCAGCATGGCCTGAGGTACCCGGAATGTTGTCAATGATTTAGCCAAAGAGGGGCTTTCCCACCCATCATAGACAAGGACCAGATACAGTTACCTTCCATGTGGAATAATACATACATCCAGTTTTGCTCCGGGGCTGTAACTGTCCTGCCTGCTCTTACAAGACAGTCTGAATGTGGAACACCTGCAAAGCATCACATGGCCCACTCTATCAGTGTTACTGTGCTGTTAGACTGAAGAAGCCATGAGGGATGGCCAGAATGGTGGAGTCCTGGATAAGACCCAGGCCCTATGCAGATTAAAGGGCCCACAGTGTCAGTACAAGTTTCAGGGTTCAAACAGCCTGGCGCATATCAGGACAAGTAAAGGTCGCACAAGTGCAACTTAAACCTCACTTTCCCTAGACAGAAGCAGATGATCTGCTAGGTCTCTTCAGAATCTAGGAACAGCACATTCCACACATAGGGAGAACTGCTTCAATCCAAATACCGGATTACACCAAAGGCTGCCAGCTGAGTGGAGCTAAAAGAGGGCTCTACAGCAGGTCTAAACAATGGTTCTGGGAAGAGTTCCTGCTGCTGTTCCACAGTCCAGAAGACCCTCTTGCATTAGAGCTAATATTTCTGGATGGGGGAAAGACGCAGCAGGACCGACCGAGGCCTTGACGCAACTCCATTGCAGCTCAGCTTCCCACCGTGTCCAACCCCGCTTCCATCCCCTCTGTGCTCTGAGGTGATGGCTCCAAAAGGATGCCCTACACAACAATCTTTTTTCCAATTCTTTACTCCCTCAGTATATCCTTTTTGACAGACATTAAGTCTCCCTTAAATAATTCAGAATTGCTAAATCTTTTAGCTACAATACCAACTACCAACTCAAGTCTATTTAATGACACTTGCTATAAAAAAAAATTCTCTTAACAGATCCTCCTCTTAATTTAAATAATTGGTCAGATTAATCAGTACTCTCTATCTCTGCTTCCAGGTACTGATCCTGTGGCTTGCAGATGGCATTACTCTCTGGTATGCTCTGCACTCCGGCCAGGATAGACATATGCTGTGTCTGTTTCTAAACCTGATTAAAATATACTTATTGTAATTACCTCACTTAAATAATTCACAAAATAATGAAGTACAAGTGAAAAACCAATAACTCATAGCTGTTTATATATAACATACTTATCTGAAGGCTTTAGAAAGACACTAAGAATTAGATGCTAAAAAGAAATACTGAATGTGGAACACCTGCAAAGCATCACTTATCTGAAGGCTTTAGAAAGACACTAAGAATTAGATGCTAAAAAGAAATGCTATCATATTAGGTGTTGGCAAATAGCACTAATTACTGGGAAGATGCTGCATTCAAATCATTTCTCAGATGTCTCAGTTTGTCTTCATTAAAAACAGAAAACCAGAAACTGAAAACAGTGATAGCTGCTGTAAGGGTGTGGTTTATGTGGGACAGTCACTGTGGAAATCCAAACAGCCACTCCAAAGAAAGAGGGCTTGGTCCTGTGTTAAAAGATTGTCTGCCCTGGAAACTTATTTTAAGTTCTCCCTACAGTAGGGAGAAATTAGCTATTATTCTACTTGGTACTCCATTCACCATCCACACAACTTATGACTCTTCTAAAAAAGGGAGAAACCAAGAAGTTAGTTCTCCAAAATAATGGAGAAACTGCGCTCTTAGCTCTTAACCATTTACTTCTTCAAAGGCAGAATAACGTAATAATACAAGTCTTTTGTAATACATGAATGGGCAAATTTTTTTCTGGAAGGCGTCAAATGCCTTAGTTTGTGGTAACCACTAAATCTGCCATTGTAGTTCAAGAATAGTCACAGACACTAGCTGCATGGCTGTGTTCCAAGAAATTCTACTTACAAAAGAAAGGGGATGAACCACATTTGGCTGGTGAGTCACAGTCTGTTAACTTCAGTTCTAATGTAATAATACCAATAATAAAAACCAAAGCAAATATCCATAATTAAATAACATCTTTGGCATAAAGTATAAAGTAATTCTCCTCACCTGGCCAAAAGCCTTCTGCAGATGCACCTGTAAATATTCTAGGGGTAAAGCAGGAATATTCAGAGAGGCTTGTGAGAGCGGGGGTACTGAACGGGTGAGTGAGGACTCAAAGTCTTCAATTAAAGCGTTTGATTGAGTGCTGTTCACTGCATTTTGCTCCAAAACCTCAGAATACTTTCTTCCTGAATCATCTAATCTCAGAAGCTCGACTTGTGATTGAATGTATAATAACTCTGGTTTCACAGGGTCTGTCCTCAAGGAGACAGGGGAGGCCACTGGGAGAACTCCACTCATCTCTTCTCCTTGGCTTGATCTAAAATGCTCCGTGAGGGCAGCCCAGAGCCCGGCGATCCACGGCTCAACCACAAGTTCTAAACTGGACAGTAATAAAAAGAGAAACAAAACACACACCCAAGTTCTCCATTTGAACACAGAATAACAAGATAATGACAAAGTCTGCCCATGTGGCAGAGTGCTCTATGCACTTGTTATAGGCATTATGATGACTATTCAGAATACAAAAACTACTTACAAATAATTAAATTTTACAAAGCAGAACATTTTGTGTTTATTAGCACTATAGTTAAAAAAATGAACATGTATAAAGGTCAAAGAAATGAAGAGAATTATTAAGATATTTTAGTAATAGGGATATAATTCCTCTTAATTTCCAAGCATGCAAAATTCTGATGATGCTAACAGAAACTTAATCAAAATCCAAGACTGCCTTAATGCTGCAAATTACATTACATATCATTCAAATGCACCATCTTTTTTTAACCTGGTCAGTTTGCTGATTTTTTTGTTTTCTATATATTAAAATATCACCAAGAAATCACTCTGGACTAACGCCAAATCTTTTGACTAACTTAACAGTTCCAACCTTTCTATCAGATCTGAAAAGGTTTTTTGGTAAAATTTTCATAGAGGCCGATCACAGGAGAAAAAAAGCAATCATCATTTAGGAAAGTTGAATTCATCAAACATTTTTTAAATGTGGTAGTCTACTTACTAACAAACTATATAACAAACTCCCTACGGTCCCTGAATGGAAAATTTTAAGTAGAGTCAATGGAAAAGAAAGACTATGTCAAGGCATTGAAAATATCTCATTTTTAGTCACAACTCAAAGGAGGTATCAATTAAATTTTAATCCATAAAGCTCAATAGCTGTTAAGAGGAAGCACATTTCAGATCTTTGACTCATTAGGACTCAGGTTGTAATTTCATTGTGTTCAGTAAGTGTTCGTGAGGTACAGAGTTCAAAATTTGGTTATACGTTACATCTGCCCTGAAAAGCTTTTGCAAAAGCAAGTTTATAAATTATGGGTTCAATAATAACAGCTATGGATATCCTCATAGCTTAGAAATATCAAGGTGATTAATAGGTATAACTCTGAAGAAGGCTAATAACCACTGAGTATTTACTATATGACAGGCACTGTTCTAAGAGGATTGCAGGCGTTCATTCATTTGATCCTCCTAAGAAACTTACACAGAGTATAAACTACTATTATCTATTTCACAGAGGCAAAATCTACTCTTAGGTATCTGACCAAGGTTGTAGACAATCACAGATCAAAGATTTGAACCCTGGTATTAGACTCCAGTCTGCATTTGTAACCCATTCAGTGTGGTGGTACATTAAACAATGTCTTTAAAATATCTTAATTTTAGAAAAAGGAAAAATTCAAACAAGGTAGTTAGGATGAAAATCTAAGTATACATTCACAAATTTTAATACTTGATATAATAGATGAGCAGAGGAAATGAAAGCCTTTGAAAAGAAAGTAAAAGATGGATGAGTGACAGGCTCATAAAATAACATAAGCGTTATGTTAATAAACATAGCTCATACAAGACTAAGCATTTATCATCAATGAAGTTCTGGCAAAAAAAAAAAAAAAGAAAGAAAAAGTCAATATAAATGAACAAAACTGAAAGTGAGTGTGTAAGGAAATGTCACAGACAGACCTTTGTCACATCAGGAAAAATATGTACACTAGGGATATGGAAAAAATCCAGAGCATTACAGCTGTAGAAAATAATGGAAGAAGTAAACATGGGGGTGAGTTAAGTGGAAATATCATATGCAGAAAAGCAAGACATCTGCTGAATATGTCACTTTTCATAAGCAGAAATTATACATTAGCAGTGGGTGAAAATTAATATATGCATATAACAGAAAAAAATAAAGTGTGTATGCTACTGTCTGGCTAAAAAGCACAAAGGTTAAATGGTAGAATAAGTTATAAGATAATATCTGTAAGACCTTTGAATAAACACATCAGAATGATTTGAAAGGTGGTGCACAGGGTGAAACAGAGTTGTAAAAACAAGGCTAGATAATAATAATGTAAGGAGAAAGCGTATTTCTGATTGTCATGGTGGCTAATGGCCATTCAGATGGCAAAAGACACACAAGCAGTGCAGCCTGCAGTGAAGGTACATTGTTCTCCATCAGAGCCAGGTGGCTTGTGGGGCTCCCTGCCATGAGGAACCCAATCCCATGGCTCCCCTGTGCGCACAGCAGGGAGTACACATGCCCACTACCAGAGTTCCTACAGAAAATGCTGACTTTAACAAACACCTACACTCCTTAAAATACAGTTAACTGTACTGGGGCACCTTTTCTAACTCTTTCCAATAGCAGATACTAAGAAGGATGAGACAAACACAAAACCAACAAAACAGGTAAACCAAACTGTGGCTGACACTCTTGGGTCCCCAAAGCTAAAAAGGCTAACAAAACTAAAATGTGACAAAAATTTCAGTGCTAAACCAAAAGCCAAAACGATTTATAAACTAACTTTCATCATTTATAAACAGAATTTATTGGAAAAAACAGAGAAGCACATTGCCCTTACCCTACACAGTCATCGGCATGTCCAGTATCATAGAAATGTCGGGCTCCAAGCTCTTGAAGTCGTTTATCAATTATTTTTCCCCCATTGCAAAAGTATGTGTATTCTGAATCACCCAGACCTAAGAAGCCCAAAAAGATAATTATCACATAATATGGTTTAAATTTAAAGACATAAAGAACAGATAGATAAAATATCTAAAATACTATTCCAAGCTCTTTGGATGGAGCAAGAAATAATATATAGCTTTATATTTTCTAATTTTCCTTGACTAACACTGTATGTAAGCAATTTTCTTCTAACTTACAATATAAAAGTATCAGATATACTGAAACAAAATATTTACTGGCCACTGGTCAAAGAAATATATTGCACAATTTTGTTTCCATGAATCTGTGTAAAACTACAGAAATCTTAAAACTAGGGTTAGATAGGTTGAAATGCCATAATATCTATATCTGGTCACTTTTCTGAAATGGAGCAGGGACATGCCAACCGCAGTTTCTGCCTTTCTTTGTAAATAAAGTTTTACTGGAACACAGGCAAGTTCATTCATTTACATACTATTTATGGCTGCTTTCACGCTCTAACAGTAGAGTTGAGTAATTGTGATAGACACCATATGGCCTGCAAAGTCTAGAATATTTACTATGTGACCCTTAATAGAGTTTACTAACTCCTGATCTCCAATGCAGACAGAGGTACACTTGCAGAATAAACAACCACTTGCCATAAATGTCTCTGTGTCTATAAATGTTTCCATGTTGGGAAACTTAAGAACTGCTCACATGTTTCATGGCAAGAAAATGGACTAACAGTTTCATACTTAGTTGAAATTTAAAAAATTTAAATTCCTCAGTTGTTTAATCATATCCATGTTCTTTCCCTACAACAGGATAAGAAAACTGGTGGGTTCAGACATGGCCTAACATTAACTAGAACAGTTGATAGGTTTCAGGCTTTTCTTTATAATGGATTTTCAGTGATTTTTCAAAGTAATATGTGCTCACTCTTGAACATAAAGAAACTGGAAAAACTTGAGTGTAAAAAAATTGTAAATACCATAAAATACTCTACTGAACATATCATACAGATGACAGATCATGGCCAGTGTTAGAATCTCAAATTTCTAATCATTTATTATAGCATAATCCATCCTAGATACTCTCTCTAAAAAATAATCTTCACAGACAAACAATATAGATCACAGCCAGGAATACAGATCCTCAATTCCCTCTCTAGTGTAATATTTTTCTGAGCTGGTCCTTCTGACTCTTTCTCTTAACATTTTTTAATTATGCTTCATAGAGTCCTGGGCCAGTTGTTCCTAGCCTGGGATGCATAACCTAGGATCTTTAAAAACATACCAGGGCCCTACCTCAGAACAATTACATCAGAACCACTGGAGGGAGGTCCAAGTAACAGAATTTAATAAAAACTCCCCAGCTAATCCTGATGTGCAGCTGGGAAGGAAACTACCATGCTGGGAGAATGGTCCTTAGACAAAGAAAATATCAAAATCTACTGACACTGTCTGTTTTATTTTGTTGCTTACACAAGGAAACACCATGAGGGTTGTTCCTTTAAGAATTGTTATAGTAGGTTTTGGATGAGGCCCAGTCAACTATTATTGTGAAAATGTTTCATGGCTGACTCTAAAGTGCACCCTGATTAAGAATGCTACTCAAGAGATTCTGCAGAGGTGTTGTTGGTGTGAAGACTAAGGAAGATTCACATGAATAGCACAGTATATATACAATTACCTGTTTCATATATACTATATATACACATACACAATATTTACATTAAAAAAGAAACAATCCATACAATTATACTTCATGGTTCTGAAAGATATAGTCAGATGCTAGAGTTAAAACAATAATAACAGAATATAGCAAGACCAGAAAATATAAGTCATTACCCAATAATCCATATCGCAGGTGAGCAAAGAAATCCACCGGCAGTGTTTTGTTCTGTATTTCTTTAACAAACTTGCGGGCTGTGTCTGGTGGGTCTCCAGTGCCCGTGGTAGAAACAACAACGACAAGAGGGGCTGTTTCGGTTTTCAGATCATACTAAAAAACAGAGATATCAAGTCAGGGACTAAATGCTACATGCATTTTTGATTTCATACAACTGCAAGGCAATCAGCTTAGTTTCTTCCATCTTGTATCTCCTTTCAATTTTCTTCTTAACAAATTATTCAAGATGCATGCCACAGTAAGTAGGTGCTCCCAGTTTAACAGAGTCACCTAGTACATCACTCAATGAAACCATGCATTTGTTTTGTTGATACTCATCAAGAGGTTAGAAGGGTCTAACATGTCCTTCCCTCTATGTGGCTTACCAAAGAGGCAGAGATAGGACGCACCCCAGGTTTCCATCTAGATCAGTCCTTCATTTTCAGGAAAATAACAGGAGATAGGACAGATATAATCAACTCTTTGCCACTATGCCCTGGGCAAAATGTTAACCTAAGCTCTAATCTCTAAGGCAAATCAGTCCACCAAGGGCCAAGAAGACCTCACCAGAGCTGTCAAGGAGGAAAAGCAGCTAATTGGGTGAAACTGTCTTTCCATGAGAAAGTTAAAAAAGCAAGAAAAGAGATTTGCAAAGGGGGATGGGGAAACTTGGAAATAAAGAGAACAGACATAAATACTCAGGATTAAAATGGAAAGACATTAAGGAAGCAACAACAAAAAAGATTATGGTGGTATTTAGCGTCCTAATTTAACAAACATCACTTACCAACCAAAAATACCTCAAAGTGCAAAACACAGTAAGATCCAGAGAGTGATAGGTGTTACCTTATCAGACTCACTAATACAGTGAAGATCTGCAGAGAATCCACGTGCCAGAGCTTGCTCACATATTTCCTCCGCTATGGCCTTTGCCTGTCCTTGCTGTGTAGCATAGAGTAGCAGAAACCTCCTCATCCCTTCAAGGCATATAATATCACGGTGACACAAAAACAGACACACACACACAAAAAAAATTTTTTAATAAAGTAGTAACACACTGCAGGTATTAATTCTTCCTCAATGAAAGAACAGACCAAGAGTGGGAAACTATTTTTTATCTTATTCCTAAACCCTAACACAGTGATGAGAAAGTAGAGGCTATGTCCTGGATATTAGCTTTGCTGACTGTCTTTTCAGAAACACAGACCTCTCAAGCATGACCCATACCAGCCTACTGTAATTTGTCTTTTTAAAATCCCAAATTTCTCAAGCATGACCAGTATCGGCCCATTGTACAACTTCCTGAGGGTGGTGAGATTCCTGACTCAGTGCATGGTGACCAGAACCCCCCTTAGGGTCTCCAAGACATTCGCAGGTGGTCAACAAGGAAATCACTGCAGTCACAACTACCTGATTGTAACATCTTCAGAGGAAAGGATTTAAGCGTGCGGGGCGGGGGGGGGGCCGCTAGGAAGCCACACTCATCTAGAGTGTCAGCCCCTCTTCCTGTCTGTGAGAAGTGACCTCTTTCTTAAATAATATCTTTTCTTCTTTCATCTCTGTGTGTGTTGCACATCTTTGGATCTCTGGTAGCCAGTGCGCACCTCTGGCACACAGGCTCCTGCCGTGGGTGCTACGCCCCTCCACATCCATCCATTCATTCACCCTACCTGTACCCTAACACTCAACAATACTCGCACACAATATAAAACTGCCTTCTCTAAATTTGTCATTAGCACTTGTTCCAAATGAGCCTAAATAAGATAATTCACCAAACTAAGGAGACTACAGGAATGAAACTCTAATTCCAAGGTTCAGAAATCAGATAATCGGGTTAAACTACTTGGGCCTGAATCTGTGGTTCCCAAGCGCAATCCTGCAGGCAGGCTATTCAACTGATATGTCCCTCAGCTCCTTATCCTTAAAATAGGGATCATACTACCCACCTAACAAAGGATGTGACACATGCAAAGTACTGGAGCAAAGCTTGAGCCAGTGTCATTCACAACCATTTTTTTGTTTCCTCTTTAAAAAAAATAAAAGTAGGCCAGGTGCTCAAGTTTGTAATCCCAGCACTCTGGGAGATCGTGGCGTAAAAATTGCCTGAGCCCAGGGGTTCATGACCAGCCTGGGCACTTGGTGAGATCTCATCCCTACGTTACATCAAAAAAATAAAAAAAAAAAAATAAAAGCAGAAATTCCACTAATGCTACAGGATTCTTGGTTCCCATTTGATCCTTATGTTAAACAAACTATTGTAGCACTAAAGTCGACACACATACTCTCCTTTGTTAATTCAATATCATACGTGTGCGTGCATGTACACATGCACATATATGTGCATATAAAGAGACGATATTGGGCAACCCCTTCAGGTTCCTTTTCTGTCCTCTCAATAAATCCTGCTTTCAAAAAAAAAAAAAGAAAGAAACGATAATCCCAACCCACTCAAACATTCTAACGCATGTTTTTCATCTAGTGGCTAAACCTGGCAGACTGTCGATTTGAAGGGACACATTTAAACTGAATCCCAAACCAAAATCTTGGCTTTGGGCGAGTGAACCTCCTATGGTTTAAATTCCGTGGTCAATTACATGCAAGGACGAATTAAGGCATGAGGAAATGACACGTTAATCATGGAGTGCCCTAGGGGCCAAAATGGCACCTGGCATACAACGGATGCTCAATAGGCGACCTGAATGAATGAATGAGCAAATGAGTAATATTGAGACGGTGCACGTTTATGGCTCACAGAAAACCAAGAAAATGTGGTGATCAAAACCTTGTGGCAGCTCACGATGTGTGTCACTTCCCGGGAGCCGCCCGCATTCTGGGTGCTGCAGAGGGCGTGCCCCTCGACCTCGCGACCACCCCACGAAGCAGCACCGCCTCCCCCACGGTCTCGGTGAAGGTTCCCAACACCGGGCAGCCCGGGGTCCTCGCAGAGGCGGGGACGGGGCTCCCCGCCCGCGTCCAGCCGGGTCGGCGCTCGGAACG